GAAATCTTTTTTAATAGACATACTGGTCTCGTGAATCTGTGCGTGGAGCAATCTATGGAGAATATTCAACATGGATATTACAAAATCAAGAACTTAAGAACGAAAATTTCTAATTATGCAACTTTTTTCGAGAATGATCAAACCTTTAAAGTCAGATGATACTCGAGACGCTATGAATCACTTCGTACTGTGAGAATCATGGACTCTAATGAACTAGTATTAGTCAGGTTTCTGATATTCAAACATGTCTTGATATATGAAGGAGACTTTCAAAATTCAAATATATTTAAAACATTAAATTGGTTTACTCATCCGGCGATTCATCCCCATCTTCTTCACTAAATGTGATTCGCCTGCGAAATGTCGACGAGCTGGGCACTTGAGTATTTTAGAGGAGACACTCTGTTATTTTGATAAAGACTTAACTCCAAATGGGTCGTTCAAAATGCCATCTGAACGTGTTAACGGCAAGACTATAGTGCAAATTCCATGAGTTAAACTGACTCTGTAGAAATTACCGGACAATGTCAATAAATATAGACAGTAATGACAAATAAAGTGATTAAAAAAGATGATCAATGAATACTTCTCGAATTATTAGCAACTTCAACGAAAGAACAGCTCGATGAATAATATTATGATCAAGTATTTATTTATGCAAAAAGTCTTTCCGCGACTGAGCCGTGGATCAAAGTATGATGCTGAATTGTACCCTATTGGCCGTCCGATAAAGTGTTGGAGAGTAGTATTCAAATTGTATATTTTAAACATAATCCTAGCAATTCACAAAGTTCACAGTGTCACACGTTCTTGGGATATGATTAGAAAAAAATGTCAATAATATTAAATTGATCGAAGTGCATTCATACTTACATTGCAAATAAATAATTCACTGCATACTTTGCATTGGTTTTAACTACCTTTGCCGAACATTAGCTGAAAAATAGACTACTAGTTTTTATTTATTCGTAACATTTAACGTCTATAAATTTTGAAAATTAAATAATTGAAAAAAATGAAATCGTTTGCTTTATTTTTAAACAACAACATATACAATTAAAACTTTCACATTCCGAATTGTGCAATTGAGAAATTTTTTAATCAATGTTTCATGAAACCTTTTTAACTTCAAAAAACTAGATTAAAATTATTCAAGATACTTTTGAGATATTTTTCATTTATTTTTTTTCTTAATAATACTCTTAAATCAATGCTTTTTAAGGATTATTTATTTTTGATATTTAACTTTTGTTTATTTATTATTTTATAGAAGTAATTTTTCAAATTTTTAATTATAAATAATATATTATTTAAAACAGCAATATATACATATAATAAAATATTTTCTAATTTTATAAATGGATGGTTAATTGAAACTAAAATAACTGATTTTAAAGCAGATTTCACTAATTTGCCAAATTTCCGATTAGCTGATAAAATTGATTATGCTTAGCTCATTTGACACCTAAAAACTAACACATAACCCTAATCCACATTAATTTCAACTAATTATATTTATGCCATTTAATTCTGATTAATACAATTGTGTTAAATGGAAATAAAGTAAAGCACATATTTTTTTGAACACACATTTTGACTAGTGACTAGTATATAAAATATTCAATAAGCAACACATCACGCGTGAAATATTAAAGTCACATAAAAAACAAAGAAAAACATCGATCATAAAGAATGTTACAAAAGATAAAGCAGATTTGCATTAAAATTTATTAGAGGAAAGATCCATAAACCTAATAGCTGATCTATAACTTGACTTTTTGTAATAGTGCATTTTACGGACATATATTCAATAAATGTTTTATTAATACATAAAGCCCGATAATCATCTCAAACGAAGATAGTCAGAAAAAAGTATGAATCAAGAGTAGTAAAATTGGAAATTATGTAGTACAACAATTAAAATGAAAATAAAAATAAAAATACAAAAATAAAAATATATCTCTTTCTTTTAAGTCGACCAGCAACTTCCGGTAGGTCATCATCATAGATGATCACTATCGGATAGGATTATATCCGATTATTTGGCCGCTTTTACCGCGCCACAAGTGAATGCGTCCTTGGATAAACCCACCACGACACCGTTTGTCGGCCATGATCCTTTCGACAGCACACCATCCATTTCCCGGACGACAGCAGTCCCTGAGATATTTAAATATTTATTAAATGATATTCATTTACTGTAGATATAATAAATTTTTATTAAATTCCATTAAATACCTATTTTTTTTTGCCCTCCACGCTTTGCACTGGGCTACGTATTTTTCTCCGTTTATACACCCGCGTATATCCACCCCTTATCGCCTCGGCCTCTATGAAAAAATAAATAAAAAAATGAATAATTGCGCCATCATCATCAAAAATCAAGAAGAACGTTAACAGTCATTTTTTCTGTAGCCACAAAGCGTCCTAAATATAGAACCTTTTGCCTTCACGAAAAAACTATCTTTCGAAGAGGAGAGCATCTCATCCAACTCTCGGAAGACAGAAGGACCTGTGATTTTTAGAAATTTATTAATGATATTCATTAAATAAATAAAATTTCATTAAATTCATTAAAAATACCTTTTTTTTTACTTCTCAAGTTCATTAAATAACAATGGGATATATCTTTCCCTTTGTCACCACGACCTCTATGAAAATATAAAAGTAAAAATGAGCAATTTGCGTCGTCATCATCATCAAAAATTGATTCACTACAATCCCCAGGGTAGTGAATTCAGAAATTGGGAAGAACTGTCCACGGCGGCTGAAACTATGGCCACGAAAAATTTTCATTTCCCAGACATTTTACACTTAGTAGCAGCGTGACTTCGGATATCCAATAACTCGACAAAACACAGTGAAATACTCACCCTTTCTCAACATTCAAACTCTCCAAAATAGCAACTATTAGTTCTTCAAGCTCTTTTCCTATCTCAACAGATGACATGAGTTTTGGTAATTTCGCTAAAAATTTCAATCACCTCGTTAATACTTGGGTAAGTGCTGGGAAAGGAACGAAATTAAAAATTTTTAAATTTTTTTTTGACGATTCCATACATTTCTAAAATAATGTATGACCACGTGGAAATCAATTGAATTTGGTTATTGTAAGAAGGAACATATAGGAAAAAAATTTTTCATTTTTGCATCGGAATAATAAAAATAAAAGTGAGAATCTGATTTATTTTCAGTGACTCGTAAAAAACGTAACATAATTCATTAAATTTTCCTGGCAAATTTCTAGTTAAAGTTAAAAATCAATTAATAAAGCCTACGACTGTCAAAGGCATCGTTTTTTTATTGATAAATGATGCCTCTAATTATCCAAGGCGTTGTCATATTGATTTTTTCAATTTTCTAAGTCATTTATTTTTTCTTTTTTTTTTAATAAATAACGATTCTTATTATCTATAACTGTAAATAGTTTATTTGAATAAAATATGAAACCTTTTTTTTTTATATTTGATTATACAAGACAGATATTTTATTGATTCTAAGTAAATAAAGTTTCGAAGTCTTGGTATTCTTAGTTTTCTGTTTTACTAACTATTTTTAGCAATCTCTTTTATTCTTTTATTACAGAGAAATAGAATATACAACTCGCCCTTTGCAAGAAAGCGATAAAATTTCATTTGTCGATTAATCTAACGAAAAATGTTCTGCAAAGATGGCTAAACGCGAATAATATGACTGATCCTTAAAATACTTTACAATCTTTGAAAATATTTGTTCGAAAGGACGTTTATGATTAATTACGAATCAAGATTAGCTTTAAAAGTTTTAACAATATATGGCAAATAAAAATAAAATAAAAATAACCAAAAAAAAATACAATTCACGAATTAAAATCTTTCATCAGTATGTGAAAAGAGGTGAAAGGTCATTATTTTTAAATATTTATAACGGATAACTGACATTCCCTCTTACATGTATATACTTTTATTCAAGTCCTTTATGCTATATTGTCCAAAACGACATTTTATATAGCCGCATTTTAAACTAAACTTCGTTGTTCGTCAGAACGACAAGAACAATTTGAGTAATTACAACACGAACACTAATCTAAAAAAATTATCATCGTTTATCATTATAAAATTATTTTTTATATAAAAAGATAAAATAAATTACCTGAACGATTATCACCACCATCTTCCTTATCTTGATTCGTTTCATTTTCATTTATTCCTTCTACTCCTATATTATTAAAATATTTCCAAAAGTTAGTGAAAAGCCCGGTGTTGTACGCGGAAAGATCCTTAACGGGGTTGCAAAGCTAAATAAGCGAGGTACCTATGTACAGCAGACGGGAGCGAAAGCACCCCGTGCAATCTCTGGAACCATATCCTCTAAACCTGCATTGGTACTTACCGTCATTCATTCTTTCTCTTGCTTTTTTTCTTAAATAAAGTGATTTTCTCAAAGAATCTTTGCATTGTTTCGAAAAGGCTCGTCGACGGTTAACCATTTTTTCGAATGAAATGTTATTTTTTGTGAAAAATTTTATATCGAATGAAATGTATTCTTTGCGTAAAAGATGATACAGTCAACTCTATCTAAATGCACACCCTTGGGACCCATAGTGAAAATTTTAAAAAATGTGTATTTAAAGTGGGTGTGCATTTAAAGAGAAAATGCATAGTGTATGCATTTAGAGAGGGTGAATTTAGAGAGAGTTGACTGTATATCGAATGAAATGTTTTTCTTTTATAACGAAAATGATACACGATAACTGGATTGGCGTGGGAATATTGAAATTTTCAGAAAACGTGGGTAAATTGCGATGGAAATTTAAATTTTTTATTTTAGGCAGGCGAAATATTTACCCTTTTTTTAAAAAAAAAAAAAAAAATAAGCAAAGAAATTATTACGTAATTAAAAACTAAATTTGGCAATGATCAAGGAAAGTGTGACAGGTTACACCGACTATATAATTTATGTCAAAATAGGTTTAAACCTGAAAAATTAATAATTTACTTGAAATATTACGAAAGCATACTTACAAACTACTTGAACTATCGACTTTCTTGAAGACGTCTCTTATTTTCGCAGGATGAATTATTAAATCAATTTTAGTTTGTATAATTACAGTATTTCGTGTCGTCAATGATAATATTCTAAACGAATATTAAATTTGATAAATTCCACTCATGTTCCTTTCAAAGAAGGGTTTATTTATGAAGAAACTGGCAGTATGTTATCGACAAAAATAATAAATGATTTATTCCCACAAAGGATTATGTAGGCTTATCTATTACTAACAACAAAATATTTTTTTTAATTATACGTAATTTAATTATATTTTACTAGACTAAATTGATGATATCAAAAAGATTCCACACTTTCTTACTCTCTAAACAACACACTCAAATGTCTCTCACACTCCATCTTCAACCCCAAAATCTTTAGGTCAAGTTATAATTTTCTGAATTTTAATTATTTTTTTGCAACTTATACTGTTGAGACTAGCAAGATTAGTTTAATACGATTCGAAAGTTTGAACTACATATAAACTAAAATATTTTGTATTTTTTTTTTTTTTTTTTTTTTTAAGATTTTACAGGAAAACGTAAATACGGCTATTTACAACCAAACATGCTTATGCGGATATTAATTCGAGCTGATGATGATATTAGTAGTTATTGCAACAAGCTTGAACAGGGTCAACGTTGAAAGTGCATGAAAGGAAATTGACCCATAAAGATATTTATTTTTGACAAAATTAAAAGTATCGGAAATATATATCTAAAGAGAGCAGTAATTTCAATGATGAGATTGGCGTATTTAGTAGGATTGGGATTGTCTTAACTCCTTATTAATGTTGGTCATAGTTGTTCATAATCCTGACCTTTGAGTGGTCTAAATTTGATTGTGAATGAACTAGAGATAGATATCTAGACGTCTAATCCAGGTTGGACTAATAGATCGATTTTTATAAATTGATAAAAATTTATGTACAGTAAATATTATGCTAAAAAAACGAAAGGATTTGAAAGAAAAGCCGTCAATTGACAGGCGTAATCTGTGATCATAGGTATAGATCAGTTATTTATATATTCTTTATAACCAGCGAATATGTTTCAGCCGACCTGTGCAGAGCGAAGCAATAAAACACGCTGATGAACCTATAGATGAAAGCAAGGAAAATTTTATATAGATTTGCGAAATATTTATGTGTGGGAACAAAAGTTTCCGAACACCCTCTGTAAATATTACTGCCGGTACTACGGTTTGTCGATCCACTTCTATTTACTATCATCAAAATAAAAAAAAGGTGTTATATTAACTTAATTCACAATATTCTTAAAACAAAATCAATGGGAAAAAACAAGAAATTAACCAAAGAACAACGAGAAAGGTGATAGTTATCGAACTATTGCAAAGACCGTTATATGCAGATTGTCAACTGTTTGGAATCGATGACTCACTCCGGACGAACACCTTTGATTATGATTCTTCAAAGTAAATGAATCATGACGATGATAAAAATTGTTGTCTGTGCGTTGATGAATTGCAGCAACTTTGGAAGAAGAGTGGTAACAAGATTTTCAACAGGATTGTTAGAAAAGACTTGCATTCAGCTTGCAATTCACGAAACGAACTTTAATTTCTCCAATAAGTGTGGAGATGCGTCTCGAATAGGTATTTGGAGCACCGAAATTGGGTAACAGAGGATTTGTCTAAATTCATGTGGGGTGACGAATCGACCTTCTCTTAATTCCAACATAGCCGCATTTTGTGACAAGAACTTGTGGATTAGTGGGATTTATCCTTTGCTCCAACCACGAGCCGATTGTTCCATGAATCAGGACAGCAATTGGCCATTCTTTATAAATATCGATGGTTCCAAGAAGAAATGTCCAGCCTCACAAATCGAAGGTTGTAATGTTTATTCAGGCGGGAAAGTCTTTCATACTTTATCTTGCCCAGCTCAATGTCCTGATCTCAATACAATATTCCATCCAACCTCGTCCCGATACGTTTAAAGCATGGTAAAATACTATTGAAAATGTAGTCTATAACATGCAACAAAGAATTCGGGATATTGAAAATTTAGTCGATAGTATGCCACAGCAAATTTAGGCTGTGATAAAGAGGTCTAAATAAAATAATAATTGGCCTTTTTGTTGTTAATCCTAAAGAAGTTTATAAAAGGCGTTCAGAAATTCGACATATTTTTTATTTTATTATTTTAGTATTACTAATTAATCTTTATACTTATATTTTTTGTAAGATCATAAACACTCAAATCAGAATTTGATATCTTGAGGAAAGTGAAGACGAAATTAAAGATTTATCAGATATCGTGAATTATGTCAATATTTTTCGGAAGCTGATAAGGACAATCTCATCAAAATGACTTTTAGTGTTCATTGTAGGAAAAATTTAATATGAATAATTGATTGCAAAGTTGCAGAGGATATAAAACGGAATATATCAGATAATACAACTATTAAGCATACATATTTTAATAAGAAATTATATCGTCTCAGACTCTGAAGAAAGCCTAATAAGCGAGTAAAAGACATCATAGACTAATGGGAAGCTAATTAAAAATTAGATCAGAGCTTTAATTTTTTAAATTAGAAAACCAACAAGTGCTTACCTCTTTGAAAGTAAGGACACTTTTGCTTTGATTTTCCTGGTGTAGAGGATTTGTAAGCGACATGAAAAAGCCCCGTTGCTAGTAGATTTAGTGAAATATTCAAATTTAGAGTCTAAGCGAGCCAATGTTTCTTAGGTCTTCAATTCCTTATTTTTTTTTTTTGTAGATTCCGGAGATCATCTATCCTTGGATTAAAAGTTCCTATAGAAAGAGTAAATTTTTATGTTGTTAAATTGATGATGATAAACTAAACGCTTATCTTTTGATCTTTAATTCTTGAGTTCTTTCTATAGAGCGAATATCAAAAGGAAAGTTAATCGGGTGCTCGATATACTATGTAGATCATAACTATATGTGGTACCATATAAATTCAACCAGTGATGATTTTTATGATAAACTTCGTCAAACGTTGATTTACTATAAATTTATTATAACATAAATAGTTTGAACTTTTTTAGATGCCCAGATCAAATGGAACTTCTTTCTCAATTACTTTGGTATTCATTAGTTTGATTCTAATGTGATATCAAAATGTGATGTCAGTGTCGGCAATTTTTGGAGTCAACTTAAGTCATTTAGAGTCTTTCTTTTGGTCATAATTTACTATTATAAACAAAATTAAAAAGTTTCAATTTTCAATTTAACTAGAATTAAAACACACTTCAATTGAATTTGTCAAATAAGTTTTTTATTAATTAAAATTCAAAACCATTGTATAATTCACTGATTTAATTTTTATTATACCCCGTCGCACTAAGTGTGACTTGTGATATAGAATATCTTTTCTCCGGGATATTTTTAGACTGTTTTTTTCACAGTAATAAACTTTTTCATAAACTTCAAATTATTTTGTTTGTTATTATTGCCGTTTTATCTATTCTAGAATTTTAACAATAACTCTATTTTGATATTAGCATTTTCAATATTAATTTGCGGAATTTTTGACGAAACATGTGTTATGTT